TTTAAAATGGCTACATATTATTATTTTGTATAAATGTACCACGATTCATTTAACTCATATCCTTCTCATGGATAATTAGAATATTTCTAATTTTCCCTGATAGCTCTATAACAAATATACTTGGTATATAAATTGTGGCATTTATGATTATTTTCCTAGGATAAATTCCTAGAAATTGAATTAAGTGTATGTATTTTGAGTGTTTTTGATACAGATTACCAAACTGTCCTCCAAAAGGTTGTATCCATCTATGTTGGTTTCCAGCAGCAAACAAGATGGCCTGTCCCACTCAGAGCTGACCTACTGGTCATTATGATGTTTTAAATCTCTGTAGATTTAGTTTAAATCTACTAAAAAAGGCTGTATGAATGTTTTGCTTGATATTTCTTTGATTATTAATGAGAATGAAATTTTTTCTCATGCTTATTGAGTATTTGTATTTCTTTTTTTTATGTCCTGTTTTTCACGTACTTGGCCTGTTTTTCTATCTTAGTGTTTGCCTTGTTATTTATTTGGAATAGTTTGTAACATAGTTATACATATTTCATATATTTGTTCTAATTGAATTTGTCTTTCTTTTACGAATTTATCTTTTTTCTTTTTTTATCCATTACAAAAGTAATAGATACTCAATGTAAAAATACTAAAACTTATAATAATATAAAACACAGATACTGAAAATTTCCCAAATTCCATCCTCTCAAATTGACAGTTTGGTGTATATTTCTCCAAATGTTTTTTTCCATATACTACCAATTACATTTCTTTTCAAAATTGGAATCATAGTATATATATTGTTTTTAACTTGATTTCTCACTTACTATATCTTATAGATATCTCGTCAGTACATACAGCTTTATCTTCTTTTTAATAGTTGTATACTATTATGACTATATTGTGTTTTTAACATAAAAAGTTTTACATTTTTATTTAGTTATATCATTAAATCTTTTTATGGCATATTGCTTAATTTTATGCTGAGAAAGAAGGCTTTCGATTTTTTATAAGAATTCTCTGGTTATCTATTCAAGAAATTATCCTCATTTTAGAGACAAGCTATGCTGTGAGAGTGAAGATTGCTGACACATCTGTGTAAACTATAGGAGGAGTCTGAAAAACTTTGCTTTGTAAATGAAGGGGGGAAAGATTGTTTTGATAAAATAAAATATATTTAAGTGCCTATTTTAAGTGAATAAAATTCAGAGTACATTACCACTTCAGCTGGTCTCAACAACTAATTTTTAGAAGTTTGAAATACATCAATAGTCTTTGAAAGAGAGAACTCTTACTTCCCTAAAACATTCATGAAAAAAAGGTATAATCCCTGGGTTAGGTGCTGGGAATGCAACGATGAAAAAACACAGACACATGCGTGCAAACACACACAATCTCTACTCTTAAGGAGTTTACAGTCAAGTGGGGAAACAAACATTATTCAAATAAATACATAAATAAATATATAATAACAAACTGCACTGTGTGCAATGGAAGAATCGTATAGGATGATATGATGATTAAGAGGCACCTGTCCTCGGCCTGGAACGTCTTGGAAAGCGAACCTGGGATGTGTCGGTTGTGCTGTGGTTGGGGGCAGGGGTGGGGAGGTGGGGGTTTGGCAGCCAGTGAGGAGGTGCATTAGGGAGAGAAGGAACCATGGGGGGTAGGAACCCTGATGGAGCATGAGTCTTGGGCAACACAAGGGCTTACTCAAACACCTGCAGAGATGAAGGATTTCGAGAGAGGAAGGAGAAGGAGCACGCCTCTGCTAACGTATTTAAAGTCAAAGAGGGCAGGCCCCATGGCTTAGCGGTTAAGTGCTTGCGCTCCACTACTGGCGCCTGGGTTCGGATCCGGGGTGCCCACCAGGCACCGCTTCTCCGGCCATGCTGGGGCCGCGTCCCACATAGAGCAACTAGAAGGATGTGCAACTATGACACACAACTATCTACTGGGGCTTTGGGGGGGGGGGCGGGGAAAGGAGGAGGATTGGCAATGTTAGCTCAGAGCCGGTCTTTCTCAAAAAAAAGAGGAGGATTAGCACAGATGTTAGCTCAGGGTTGATCCTCCTCACAAAAAAAATAAATAAATAAAGTCAAAGAGTTTTCATCCTTTAAAAATGGTGTAACCACAGGTGATCAGTTTGTCATCCCTGCTTTATAGGGAATGTGAGAGTCATTAAATGATAGTCGAAGTCCTGAGTGTCCAGAAACTGAGTGTTCAAAGAATGTAAATGCTGGGTAGAAAAGGATGACCCCGTGAAGTGTTCTTGAGTTGGAAAAAGAAAAGCTAGGAGTGAGCACGATGTTACTTAAGGCCAAGGAAAGATGGCCTTTTAAGGAGGAGGCAGTGAGTGCTGCTAAGAGCTCAAGGAAAATGAGAACTGAAAAAAACGTCCATTAAATTTCACAACATGGAGATCAACGACCTTCACGAAATGCCTACACTGTGCTGATATTGTCTAACAAGTCTCCTGCATCTTCTGAATTGGCTGTATCTTTTGCCTGACTGGGAGGGGTGTAAGCTGCTTTAGATCCAGCACAAGCTCCTGGAGATCCGGCCACATTCTGGCAACAACCAGCGTGGTGCTATAAACAACAAGAAAATTATAAGATAAAAACATTTTTTTTTTAATTTAATTTAATTTTTTTCCCCCAAAGCCCCAGTAGATAGTTGTATGTCATAGCTGCACATCCTTCTAGCCGCTGCATGTGGGACGCGGCCCCAGCATGGCCGGACAAGCAGTGCGCCTGTGCGCGCCCGGGATCCGAACCCGGGCCGCCAGCAGCGGAGCGCGCGCACCTAACCGCCAAGCCACGGAGCCGGCCCCAGATAAAACATTTTTGACGATGCATTGATTACCAAGTTTTGATATCAGAAACACTCAACCCGGCTCATGTTAAAAAACATGAAGCATGTATTTCTTGTGCAATGCTGTGCAGGTAGGTATCTGATAAGTCTACATCTTCAGAACCAAAGTCCTATGAGATGTCCTATTGCTTTTATTTAAGATAAAGAGAATATGTTGAAGGTACAGGAATCTACCAGCTACTGAAAACTGTAGAACCCCACCCCTGTTGTACCTTTAATTTATAGAAGAAATATTCTAAAAAATGTCCCATAGAAAGGATGAAAGTAGTTTTCTAAATCATGATTATGACTTTATTATTATAAATGACATTTTTCAAGATAAAAATAGAGTACATAATGATTAGTGAACTCAACAGAAAGATTCCAAAATAAAGTTTCTACAAATCAAGTTCTTGTAAACGACTGCAAATATACAGTATTTATTAGTCTTTACCTGAATGCATCATTTCTTAAGGCCCTCATAAAGTTACTCTTCATCAAGAATAAAATTCCACATATATGGAAATTAAATTTAGAAAAACATTTAATTAACATAATTGAATGTAATTAATCATAGTAAAAATATCAAAACAGAGCACTACATTTCTGAGTATACATATATAATGATTTTTAAAGCTCTAGTGAGGCATACTCTAAAATAAAGCTAAGTGACATATTAAGTTTAGTCATACAGTATAGTTAAGATCATTGTAGAAAGATAAATTATATATGATTGATATATTAATATATATATGTACATATAATTTCCTCTTGGAGGATTTTAGGAGAATATTTGTCATGGTTAATTCTTTCTACATTACATTTTTTTTTAAGAAGAAGATTGGCCCTGAGCTAACATCTGTTGCCAATTTTCCTCCTTTTTTTTTCTCCAAAGCCGCAGTAGATAGTTGTCTGTCATAGTTGTACATCCTTCTAGTTGCTCTATGTGGGACGCCACCTCAGCATGGCTTGATGAGCGGTGAGTAGGTCTGCACCCAAGATCCGAACCGGTACACCCTGGGCCACCGAAGTGGAATGAATGAACGTAACTGCTATGCCATGGGGCCAGCCCCTCTACATTACATTTTATTTATAAATTTAGAACTTTAATAAACAATATATTTGATATTAAATGGTTCAATAGGACTGAACCATACATGCTGTACTTTTGTATGCATTATTGCATTTTTAAAAATCTATAATTTTCAATAACAAACCTCAAAAGTATTAAAATAAAGGAAATTTCTTCTCCCTTAAATCTTGGATCCTGTTATCAGACTAATCTTCCTAAAATTTTGCTTTCATCTTGTTAGTGCCATGCACATAATTATTCAGTGGCTTCCCATTTCCTACAGAATGAAGTTCAATTCTTTATTCTGACATTCAAAACATTTCACAATTTGCCCTCAAGTTTTATTTTCAAACCAGGCCATGCTCTTCACTGACTCAGTATCAGAGAAGCTCTTCCCCACCCTGGCCTTGTGCTCCCCACCTCCAATGCTCTTCCTCATCTTCAAATCCTATGATCTTTAAAGATTCTGTTTGACTTCCACCTCCCCTGTGAAATCTTCTCTGATGCTTCTGATGCCTTCCTCTGATCTTGTCTTCACTACTCATGTTGGCTCTTAAAAAGCCACTATTATGTACTGTTACTGAACTAGTTCATGTTTTTAAAACTTGCCTCTTCAGCCAAGTGGGAAATTCCTTAATTAGTGCCTTTGGTGCCTAGCACAATCCTGCATATATAATTATAAGCATATGCTAGTTTCATCTTAATTACGTCTTACATTTTACTTTATTCTTACAATTTTTCTTTCCATCTACAGAAACAGCACAACTAACGGCCAAGTTCACTGTTGCTTAAGCATCTCTCATTCTCTTACAACACTTGATCTTGCTATTTGCTCCACTGTGTATGATCTTTCCTGTGCAACTGAAATATATGGAATCTGGAATTTTCTTCAAACCAGGAACTAATTCCTTTAATTTCATCAAGTCAGGTAAGTTTCTGTCTTTTGTGATAAGTACATTTTTACAGGCAGATTTTTCCCTTTTAATGGAATATTTTGGATGTTCAATCAATTCCTCTGAAATCGTACAGCTTTAAAAAGAACTGCAGTCTTCCTTTCATTGAGTGTCATGTTTTTTCCCTGTTTTCTCCTTTCCCTAAGCACAAGGAAGGAGGTATAGAAATGGCAGGATATATGCTTTTTAAAAGGCCACCCTGGGGTGGGTGTAGAAAGGCAGAAATTATGGTGCTAGCTTCCTCTACTGCACAGGCAATTTAGCTCTGCTTAAGACTACCGTGCTTGAGCCTCAAGTTAGAAATCCAAGGCAGCTGTAATCCCAACCAGCATGGTTTTCTTCTTCCATATAACAGTAGTAACCACTTATTAAGCACCTCCTATATGTCAGATACAATGTTGGTTGTTTTATATATTACCTAACTATCATAATCAATTGAATCATGATCCTCATCTTACAGAAGAGAAAACTGAGGATTAGAGGTGCTAAGTAACTTGAACAACTACTAAGTAGCAGAACTAGAGTTTGGAAGTAGAATTGATTCCAAAGCCTCTCCTCTTTTCCCTACACCTTGCAATGTTAGTGCTTTGTACTGCCAGGAATTCTTGCTGGGGAACGTTGGGGCTTGCACTTATGACTTTGGCAGCTATCAGGAAGGGAAGAACAGAATAATAATAAAATGTTCCAATGTATCTGAGAAGGCTCACCAGCACCCCTCTCCTGCACACAATTGCTCCAGGCTTAGTTCGTAGATGTTCCCCATTCCGACAACTTACAGTTCAGTGTACACCAAATTTGGCGCTGTCCCTTTTGTTATGGAATATCTGATCACATGTCTTGGTAGGTGGAAGCAAAGCTGGCAGTTTTTACGTTTAAGGCTCAGGACAAAAACAACAGCATGAAATAAATCAACACAACAATAAGAATATATATATTTCATATATATATAATATTAGAAATTCTACCTGTAAAAATATATTGATCACAAAAGACAGAAACTTAAATAAGACTATATTTATAGTCTCATTGCTGTGCTGACATATGCATTTCAATCTTCAGCTGTTTACTTATTTGAAGAACAGTCAATAGGAAGAAATTCCAGTGTGAGGAGAATTCTGACAATCCCTCAGTGTTATTAGTAACAGGATCTAGTTACACGGTGCTCTTCTAGGAAGGATGTAACTGTGTATGTAGGTTTTAATATGTACTCTTTTTTTCTAGTCACACTACATGTGGTGATTCTCTGACCACTGTTTTATTAGGGCCATCAGAGGAGAGGCTATTATTCCTTCCCTATTTTTCTACATTTAAGAGAGTTTAATATACAATGTTCTCTTAATAGTTAATTTTTTTAAGTCTAGGGATATCTATGCAGATTTAACTAGCACACTAAGTTGGCCAGAAATTTATTAATTAGTATCTACCACCAACCAGATCTAACTATATACATATATATTATATAATTACATTAAGGATAATTTGTGATTTATGAGTTAATAACCTTTCACTCGTATCATTTTTAATACTAGAGTATTTAAAATGTTTCCATAAATCAGTTTTTTCTTTCTTTTTTTAATAACACTAATGTAGTAGGAGACTGGGGTGCAGTTTTCATCGGCACTGACACTTAGGGTGCTATACAAAGAACCTATACCTGGAATCTGACTTTAGAGTCTCAGCTCTGCCTCTCGTGTTTTACCTTGGAGAAATCACTTCATCCGTTTCCGCATCTATAGGATGAGGATCATAATTTCCATCTGTGTTCTTCTGAAGGCTAAATGACATAAATAAACTGTTCTACAAAGGCAAAATTGGGTTTATGACAAAATTGGGTTTAAGGGACCCTGGGCATAGCGAGGAACTGGACATTTCAGAAGGGAGTGAGTGGTGAGGGGCTTTTTACGCGGTTTGAGTTAAGCATTATTAGTCATGGGGCCCAAGTACTGTGTATGGGAGGCCTCAAATAACCCCAGTTCTACTTCCAAAGCCCAGACTTCCCCAGCTAGGGGCGAACTCAACCCCAGGGCATATTCTCTGATTTTGTCCTTGCTTCACTTCCCCCAAGATTGTAAGCTTTGGGGAAGCCATTCTTTCATCTTTGTATCCTTCTTGGAACCGCTCATTGGTAAGTGCTTAATGTGTTTGCTATCAGACAAGGTTCCTACACAGAGGGCTGGACGTCAGAACAGTGAGTCAGATTAGAGGCTGAATAACCATTAGCGGTGGATAATTTAAAGCTAATTAATTCTTCTTTTTCTCCAAAAGAAAGAGCAGTGATGCTTTTCTTAAAAGAAAATCTTAAATAGAACTGGGTCGCTAGTGTTCCGCTTAAAGCCTGCAAAGAAAGAGGTGAAGGTTGTGGGGGGACGATAATCTTATTTTGGTTGTGCTCTGGCCAGAGCCGTTGGCTAGAGCCCTGGCGTTGGTCCCCACGCGAGTGCCCGTCCCACCCACCCCGGGTTGTGGGGTGCGGGGCAGACAGTTGTCTCCGTCCCCCCCAAGCCGCTGTGGCCGGGCTTCTGGTCCTGACAGATGCGGATGAAGTGGTGTGAAGGGTTGGGCTTTTTTTTTTGTTCCTAAAAATGCAACGAACAAAAAAAAAAGTACAACAATCCAAACCCAACCATCTTGTTGCGCGCCGGCTTTCTTCCCGGGTGGCTCCACCGGGGACGGCGCCGCCTCCCGTCGCCCGCGCTCGGCGTAGGCCAAGCCCACTGGTCTTGGCGATCCACGTCCGCTTCCCGGCGCTGGGGCTCGGCTCTCCCCGGCACCGCGCTTCGCGGGCGCGCGCAGCCCTCTGGAAAAGAGAGAAGCGAGCAGCCCACGGCCCTCCCCTCTCCCACGCGCACCGCGGGCGCTGGCGGTTGCCGACACCGGAAGGACTGCCGCCTCACCTCACCCGCTCCCTCCCCCCGGGAGGCGGAACAAAGGCGAAGCCCGGCCGGGGAGGCGGACTGAGGTGCCGGGGGGAGGAGGCCGGTGGGGCGGGGCCCGACCAGCGGCGCGAGTCCATTTTGGTGCGGTGCCCAGCGCGGACCGCGCAGTCCTCGCCGCTGGAGGACGGACGGCTGCGCGGCTCCAGGCGGGCCCCTCCCGCGGCCTCGGAGGCCGGAGTAAGTACCCGCCGCGGGGCTCCTCTCAGGGAAGGGGGTGGTCCTTGAACCTGCTGCGAGGGTGGGGACTTGCCCTGGCAGGGCAGGGACCTGCGTGGGTGGGGGGCTGGCGGAGAGCTCAGTCTGAGCTCCAGTCCCAGCAGCACAGCGGAAACCCGTGGGGCACCGGGACAGGGCGTGGGGAGGAGAGGCGTGCAGAAAGGCGTCCGGCGGGCCGGGGCAGCGTTCTATGCTCCAGAAAATCTGCTCCGCTACGGAGCATGCCCGGCTCCACTGCCAGCGCCTCGGTATCGCCTAGAAAAGAAAAGGCGACCATGAACCAGAAGGCAGAGCACGCGACCACACCTGGCACTGAACCTGGGCAGGCTGCCTGCGCCCGGGGAGGGCGGCCTAACCGGGAAGCTCCTTAGTACAAAGATCTCCAGCCTCTCCCATACTCCTGGTTTTTTCACAGGTCCTAGCAGGCTGGCTTTATTTGTGGGGGACGATTGAAAAAACAGAGGGTAAGATTAGGGTCCTGTGCAAGTAAATGCATAATACCCTCTTCTTTGTTCTTTCTTTGCAGTAGCCTCGTTTTATTGTCAGTCACAACGTGGAAAAAAAAAAAAATAGATTGCTTTGCCCTGGGAAATAGTAACCCTGACGCATACACCTGCTTGCAGGGGATAGAGGTAAACTACAATACTTTTCCCTACATTTAAAAAAAAAAAAAGCACTCAATTTCTTTAGGCCGTGGACCTTTCAAAATTGAACTATGTGTAGAATGTATGTGTTCCCAGACTCATGGGTGGTCTTTGTTCTTTTCATATTTTGTCAAAACTCAGGAAAATAGATTCCACACTTGGAAATTGTTTTTTTTAAAAATTCGCTCTGAGTTAATATCTGTTGCCAATCTTTTTTTTCTCTCCCCAAAGCCCCAGTACATAGTTTTATATTTTAGTTGTAAGTCCTTCTAGTTCTTCTATGTGAGCCACTGCCACAGCATGGCTACTGACACAGGAGTTTGTGGTTCCCTGGGGAACCCAACCTGGGCTGCCAGAGTAGAGCCCACCCAGCTTGAACCACTAGGCTATCAGGACTGGCTCCATACTTGGAAATTCTTTATGTGGCAATTATTTGAAATGTATTATAATCAAAAGATTTATATTCCAAAGGAAAAGAGAGGCTTTGGCAGCATTTCTTTTTTTTTTTTTTTTTTTATAGTTTTCTTTTTTCCTTCTCCTGTGCCACCCTGCTAGGGCTTGTACAACAGGGCTTGAGTTTTCTGAAGCTAGAAACGTTTATATAATAGGTATTTTAAAAGCAGAATTTCATTTACATAGCCACTCCCTCTGGTAGAACTTGATGGAGCTCTTAACTGGTTATACTTCCATCTTGCACAATGAAAAGTTACATTCTTCAAGCTCTCCTATCTTCACCTAAAAATACCATCTTTTTTGCACCAGCTGATGTACTAACCCTCCCTGGTAAGTCCTTCCATAACACCAGGTTATTCTTTTTATTCTATACATTCATGAGAGGTTGGTTACCTGGCCCTACTTCTGCTACAGCTTTTGTTCAGATATGCCCATTTTCATGCAAGTGCTTTGTATCTGCTATCCTATGTAATTCTTGCTTTGCCTTCCCTTGAAATTACGGTTGAAGAGAGTGCAACTGTCCTTTGGAACCTTTCTTGGTTAAAATACTCATGCTCTAACATAAAACTTTAAATGTGTATTTACAGTTTTCACAGTATTTGTACACATATGTAATTAAACCACCTTATATTTATATAGTTTAGCAGTTTGCAAAATTGTCACACATTAATCTTTCCAAGAACATTATGAGGTAGGTACTGTAAAAATTTTCATTCTGTGAAGGGTAAAACTAGTGCTTGAACCTAGGTATTCAGAAGCAGGTTCAGTGCTCTTTCCTCTTCACTGGAGAGCCTGTTACAATCTAGTTTGTAAAAATCATAGAATTTTAGAAGGGATTTAGAGACCCTGTGATTAAACTTTTCCATTTTACGAATGAGGATACTGAATTCTTGACCCACTTTCTGGATAGTGCTGAGGTCTAAGAATTGGGAAACTCAGGTCCTATGTCTACTGTACAACTGAAATCTCCATTTTAGGCGGGCTTCAGTTTTTTTAGTTATAAATTTAGGTGTTTAGCTAGATGTTCTGGAAGATGTTTTTAAACCCAGTACTTCTATTTTATTCCTACCCCATAACTTTTATTACTATATATTACCTATATATATTGGTAATACACAGATGCATACTAATATTAACTGCCTTAAACTGTTTTATATTTTAAACTTGGTTAAGTATGGTAAGAAAAAAAAGTATGCCTTGTTCTTGGTTTTTTACTAAGCTCTATAAAAGTATGGTTCTGTTGTAAGGTCAGGAACTGCATGGAGAGGTGAGGCACTCGCATTCATCATTGGTTAGACTTCATAAAGTGGTATACCCCTTCCAGAGGGAAACTTGGCAATCTTTTCAAGAGCCTTAAAAATGTTCCTACTTTTTGATCCACCTAACAATACACTTAAGAGTCATCTAAGGAAATAATCAGAGCTGTGGACCAAGACTTTTCTACAAGGTGTTCATTTAAATGTGATACCAAAAAAACAAACAACCAATAAGAAAGAACATATACATAAGATGGACTATCATGTTTTAGAAGAATATATAATGATAGAGAAAATGGATGTGATAAAATAAGTGAAAAAAAGTAGATACAAAATTGTGTTATGCTACCAGTTTTGTTAAAATATGTGTGTACTCACACACACACATATACACACACACACATACACACACGACAGGAAGAAATGTGCCAAACTAATACTGGAAGAAATATACCAAAATAACAGTAGTGGTTATACCTTGCTGATTGTGATTATGGGTAGTTTTTTTCCTGTATTTCTTGAACTTTTTATAATCACAAATTACTTTTATAATTTAAGAAAAACATAAAAGCTAATTGCATGGATAACCTCTCCCACTTCAGTATGGAGTCAGCTTTCTGTGTCCTTTTTATAAGGCATTTATCATATCTTTTAGAGTAACAATATCTTTGTAGATGTGCTATATTTCTGAATTTAGGGCAGGAATTGGCTTTTGGCTTATATTTCATTTTTTTAAAATGTCATTAGATCATTGGATTATCCATTTTTGTTATTCATGAAAAATACTGCTATTGTCATTACCTTGGCATGGGACTCTAGATACCAGAATGGTAATGGAAGAATAGAGTGCTATGCACACCTCTTATAACAGTTAACTAAATACAGGTGTCCTTCAACATACAGAATAGTTACATTCCAGTTAAGCCTTTTATAAAGCGAGTTCCCATAATATGAACTCTTTTTAATTCATTTCCATTATAGATGTAGATACATTTCTAATGAAAAGTTGAATGAAAATATTTGCTGATAGCTTAAATCATTGTCTTTCCTGTGGCATAAGCGCTACAAGTATATCCTACTTGGCAATAGCCTGGCTCCCCATTTAAAACTCCCAGAGGAGCTCTTCCTTTTTTCCCCTGGATATTTGCAGTATTGAATATGAGCGAGGAGTGCCAACAAAGTATATATAATATAGCCTACCTAAAAAGTGCTTAAAGTTTAGCAAGATAACTCTAGCTAGCTACCTACTGAATGCTAGACTTTGACAGTACTTTCTGAAAGCTGGAATTAACCTCAAATACAGAGTTAGATGATGGAAACTTTTAATAGTATCACCATTTTGGGGATAATAATTTAGGTCAATGATTGCCAAGTTTATGGCTTGTAAAAGAAGATAATTTGTTTTATGGGTAAAAATTTGCTACCTTCATTTAAACCCATTTACATTTATTTGGGAGACAAGGAACCAGACATTTCTGGTTCATAAAACTTTTGTGGAAGTCAGTAGTTCCAACTTAAATTAATTTGAACTCTTAACAGGTAAAGATAAATATCTGGGTCTGGTTGGTACCAGACTAGGAGAATAATTTAGTCTATATGTACGTTTCCCTCAAATTCAGACACTCTTTATTCAGATTGATTTCATCTGGGTGGGAGAGAATGGGAGTCAACACCTTTTGGAGACCACATAGATTTCTCAATTGTTGTACGTAAGTGGGATGGGGATATTTGATCTAGTTGGTATCCTGAAACCCTATTGATTTAATGCTGCGGATTTACAGAATTACATAATATCTTGGGTGATTATCGAGTGACACAAGGAAAAGAAAGAAGAGAACGAAAGATAAGTAAGGTGAAGAGGAGGGTGGGGAATAAGGAAAGAATAAGAGGAAATCAGATTATACTCCTTGAAACAGTATGGGGAAGATGAATTAAAAGAAGAATAAACAAAGGAAAGAGTCAAGGTGAAATAACGGTACAGTTAAGAAGAAAGGAAAAAAAATTTTTTCTGAGTGGTCTGGACTAGTAAGGTAATGACCTGGTTTTATGTTTTTGATAATGTCACCTTAGTCCAGAACCCTCTGGGAACTTGCTGAGTAGATGGCCCTTCCAAGCTGGTATACCTTCTGTACTAGCTTTATTTCACCCTACTTTTCAGGAATCTTACTAGAAATATCTTGGGGGAAATTTTAACTACTACTCATTCTAGAATAATGCCAGAAAAGGGAAGTTACTTTTTGTCTTATATGGACACATAGGTAACTTTTATCTTGTGTTTGCAAGAGCCACATAACAATTAGATAAGCTATTATATTAATTTTAATATTCCTTTTTTGAGATACCTGAAATCTTGTCTTTTCTTAATCTCACTTTGTCCTCTTTTGATCATATAAGTTATGGAACAGTCTCTAAAAGCCAGAATGAAGTATAATAACATATTGATATAGAGTACTTAAAACAAAAACTTTGTAAATAATTTTCATATTATTAGATACCTTTCAAAACAGTTGTACAATGAGAAGAGAAACTGTAATTGTGTAAGTGGTTTGTCAAAGGTCACAGACTTAGAGCCAGATAAGTATGTAAGTCTCACAGGCCTGGATCCAGAGATTTCCAGTAATACATTTTTTATTTTATAAAAGATAAAACAATACTATAGCAGATTATCATACTTCGCTAATGTTTCTGAAGTTTTACTTTTTTAGCTCAATATGGTTTTGTTATAATTGGCCCTCTTCTGGTTTTTTTCCAACTTGTTCTTGTGAAAAATTTCAAATATACAGAAAATTCAAGATACTACAATAAATATCCTTACATTCTCTACCTAAATTCAGTAGTTGTTAACTAGACCGTTAATAAGTTTCAAGAAAGCATCATTAGTGTATCTCAATCTAAAACAGAAATACAGTATACTACTTGAAAATAAGATTAACTAGTATGCTGAGAGGAAGTGATTAAAAAAACAAAGGTGAGTCCTTTTGTTCTAAGATTGATGGCTCTCAGTTTAGTAGAGCTTTCCATAATTTAGTTTTGTCTGTAAAGGGAGTTTCAATATTGCTATCTAGTTACTTGTTAGGTATTTAAATACTGCTTTGAAATTCCTGAGTTCAAAGATGCCTCAAAGCAGGATGGAAATTTGGTTTAAATCCTTAAGATATAAAGTATAATATATTGGCTTCTCTTTTTGTTCTCTAATGGGATTTGGAAAGAAATCATGGGTAATATTTTGAACTTTATATTTCTATCAACTAATGAAATTCAGAGGTTTAACAGGAAAGTTTCTTTTAATAAAAAGGTTTTTATTGGGCCAGCCTGGTGGTGCAAGTGGTTAAGTGTGCACACTCCGCTGCAGTGGCCTGGGGTTTACTGGTTTGGAACCTGGGTGTGCACTGATGCACTGCTTGTCAAGCCATGCTGTGGTGGTGTCCCATATGAAGTAGAGGAAGATGGGCACGGATGTTAGCCCAGGGCTAGTCTTCCTCAGCAAAAAAAGAGGAGGATTGGCATCGGATATTAGCTCAGGGCTGGTCTTCCTCACAAAAAAAAAAGGGTTTTATTAAAATTAACTTTGAAGAGTCAATAAATGAGCATCTTTTGCATTATAATCATTTTGGGTTGATCATTCAAAAACAAAGGACTTCTAGGAGGGAGAGGTCTAATATACAATATTAGCTTTTACTTCTGTTTATGACTGCTTTGTAAGCATTGGTTTTTCCTGTTTTTTTTGTGAGGGTGATTGGCCCTAAGCTAATATCCATTGTCCATCTTCCTCTTTTTGCTGAGGAAGATTAGCCCTGAGCTAACATCTGTGCCCATCTTCCTCTGTTTTGTACACTGGACGCCACCACAGCATGGCTTAATGAGCGGTGCTAGGTCCGCATCCAGAATCTGAACCGGCGAACCTTGGGCCTTGGAAGCAGAGCGTGCGAACTTGACCACTACACCACCAGGCTGGCCCCCTGGTTTTTCCATTTTTAATATTCTGGTTATCGTGTTACAGTTTTCATTAGTTGAGACTATTCTTGCTAAGTACCCACTGAAGGTAGGATTGATGAGGCAATTTTTGTAGTCTTCCTTGAGTGTGGATATCTTGAAAATTTGCTTAAAAATAAATCTGTGGTGGTGTTATACGACTATGCATTTGTCAAAACTCATAGAACCAAAAGAGAGAGTGTATTTTATTGTATGTAAATTAAAAAGTATGTTAAAAAATATAAATATGGCAGGAAAATGAGGTTGAAAACCAGAGAGGTGGTAGATAACTAGGTATACGGCTACTTTCTTTGTTGGGATAAAACTTGGGAAATTTTCTTGAAAATTGAGACTTTTTGTTATTCAGAAACACATTCAAAGGAAGAAATGAATCTTGGAAAATTTGTTTGCCTTTCTGCACTTATTTTGACATTGGTTAAGTTGAAATTTTGTGACTGGTAAACAGTAATTTCATTCACATAAAGTTTCTTGACTTCTATATAGGGAAAAAATTAGCCCCCAAAATGAAGGGATATGTACTTGAGTTCCTTCAAAGGAGTAAGCTTTATTGATTTCTTCATTTTTTTATGCATTAGCCACACTTTAAGAAAATGATCTGTAAGTTCCTGTATTGTGAAGCCTACTCTTCACTTAGACTAAAAACTTTATATTATGTATTTTCCTTTAAAACCTTTGAGGCAACAAACTTGCCATGGTTTCATAAAGCTAAGGGAAGAAGAGAAAAGAAAATAGTATTTAGCTTTTAAAGTGAATGAAAATGAGAATCTTTAAATTATAAACCAAAATTTGCAAGCTGTGTCACTAAAAATGGAACAACAGGATCTACCGTAATTTTGATGCAATTTTTTAAAAAGGGACTTTCCAAGTAGTAATTTTTTACTCTGATTCATTTTAAGAGCTATAAGTTGATTATGGCTTTGGGATGACTGTTTATTATTTCTAAATTTTCCTGTGTGTGCCATTTTCCTTTTTCCTTTTGATTATACTTGATTGCTTTAAAATTCTTGGCCCCTATTGCAGTATCCTTTTCAGTTTTCTTCAAAGTTTCTCTTTGCTTTGGGTGCCCTTTTTCTTCTCCTCTTCATCCAACCCCTTGGTGTCCTTTGTTTTTCCTCTTATTTATTTAATATGCTTGGATAGGATTCTCTGGAAATATTAACTGTGTAAGGATGAGTAAATTAGGTTTACTTTATTGAATGCTGCCCCCCACTACTTTCCTGTCTCTACTGCCTACTCCAAAATCTGGCCTTAGCATAGAACTCTTAGGTGAAAGACAACAGAGAGCAGTGGAGGTGATCAAGTGTGGAGCAGGACTAGGGTTGGAGGATCATCAAAGTTTTCCTTCTCTGTTCTGAAGAGTCATAATGTTTTACAGCTGCTTGATAACTTCTCTTAGCACACTAACCCCAGTCTGGAGAGCCATTCTTCTCCCAGTGCTTTTCAAATGTTGTATGATTTCTCATGTCACAAAAGATTTTTCAGAAAAATCAGCTTATCACACATTTTTACCATATGACACTAAATTTGACAGAATAATCTTTGCTTTAGTCCTACATATATATATATTATACATATATCTCTCACAACTTAATATAAAACCATAAACTAATTAGCCCTGCAAGCTCAGCTTATCTTTTAAATACTATTTATCTTCTAGATTGTAGCTCCAATTGTGAGTCTTAAAATTACTGTTAAAAAATTATTTACTTATTTTTGATTATAAGATGGCTTACAGATTATTAGACCCTATTAATTACTTTGGTGGTAATGTGATATATATATTTTGAGGGCTATATTGAGGATATATATATATCCCTCAATAAAGTGAATGAGGACATATTTAGCACTATTTTTGGTTTTAAAACCTTGAGGGTATTATGCTAAGCAAATTAAGTCAGCCTGAGAAAGCCAAATACCTGTAATTTCACTCATATGTGGGAGATAAAAACAACAACAAACAAATACATAGACACAGAGATTAGATTGGTGGTTACCAGAGCGGAATGGGGAGGGAGGAGGGCAAAAGGAGTAGAAGGGCACATGTGTACAGTGATGGATGGTAATTAGTCTTTGGGTGGTGAACCTGATGTAGTCTACACAGAAACTGAAATATGTAACCTGAAATTTATATAATGTTATAAACCAATGTTATTTCAATTAAAAAAAAAACTTCAGGGATGGAAGTTTTAAAGTGTACATTTTAAAATAAACTTGCTTTGAGAAATAGTATTCTCTAGATCAGGGATCTCAACTATTTGGGTCTCAAGACCCCTTCACACTCTTAAAAACTGAGGATCCCAAGAGCTTTTGTTTATGTGTGTACTATGTGTGTACTGTATATAGATATTTACTGTATTAGAAATTAAAACAGAAAAATTTTAAGATATTCATTTAAAATAATGATAAACATATTACATGTTAACATAAATAATTTGTGAAAAATAACTTTTTCAAAACACAATTGTGAGAAGAGTGGCATTGCTTTCCATATTTATAGATCTCTCTAATGAATGACTGTGTTTAACAGAAGACAACTGGAGTCTTTTATCTGCCTCTGTATTATACCTGTTACAATAAGTTATTTTGGTTGGAATATACTACAAAGAAAATCAAATCTGCCCTTGCACATATATGTAGTTGGTGAAGGGAGGAATATTTTAAAAGCCTTTTCTGATAGTTGTGGATCTTCTTTGATACTATACCAAAACACAAGTGGTAGTTTCTTAAAAGTTAGTTACAGTATGGAATCTGAAATCATTTTTGAACATATTGGTCTTTTACCCATACATGATTTATAACATGCATTGGTGATTTGAACCAATTAGTTCACAGTTATGCAGATCTCCAAATATTGACCTATATCATTATACAATAATCTCCTCCCTTAAAAAAAAAACACACATTTGTTAATATCACTACTTATCTTATTAGAAAAGTCTTTAATTAATGGGAAGCCATCAAGCTCTTAAGTGGCAAATATGTTTTCACTCAAAAACTCAACTTTTCTCTTTGGCGAGACATATTGTCATTTGTTTTCCTTGAACTGATTGGTTCATTTTGTTCATTTTCAAGAAAATATCTGCCAGATACCTAAGTCTGAATAGCCAGTTGTCATTCGTTCTTTCAAGTAAAAATGGTGTTCCATGAAAAAAGCAGCTGGTTCAGCTTGCAAGTCAATCACATAAGTGCTTTTCCTCCAGACAATATCTGCTTAGCGTTAAGCAGCAGAAATGCTTTGTGTTTACTTCCTATTTTGTCATACAAAATATTAAAAAGACATGTACACAAGGATCAAGATTTAATAAAATGAATAATTTTTACTGCTTCATCAAGAACATTCTTAAATGAAACTGGCTACCCTCACCCCCACCGTGGGTGTATGGTGGTGAAGAATACAGTGACTAGCAGTACAGGTTTGGTGCTACCTGTTGCCTTGTTTGATTCCTGCTAAGGCTCCAGCAGTGTCTGCTCACCATTGCTTTTACAGCGCAATTGTCAACACAGTGCCAAAAGCAAATAACATCTCAGTATTATTATGAAAATAATATTGATCTCACAGATGCCCTGAAAGAGTCTTAGGGCACCCAGGTTTCTGCCCACCACATTTTGAGAACTGATGTTCTAGATAGTACAAGATGGTTTTCATTACTGTTCTGGTGGTTTAAAAGAAAAACTCATTGAATTCTCTAGGGAAGGATGAAGTGCAATTCTCTCAACTTATGTTTTTACCTATGGTTTTAATAATTGTAATTTTGCCTTTGAAATAGAAAAATATGCCAGTTTTTAATAAAAGTCTGCATGAGGGTACATGCTTGGATTTATATTTCTGTGCTTCTTTCTTTTAAATAGCATACCATTTTATAATTGTGGGCCCAGACTAAAGAGCTCATTCTATTCAGACACTGAGTAGCTTTGTTTCTGACAGCTAGTAGTCAGCTCTCTGTTTTAAAACAATCAATTGGGTCCTGCTGGCTCAACTCGCAGTTGTCCTAGTCCTAACCCTGTCTCAGCCAAAGACTGTTGTTGGAAAGCCCACACAAAGCCCTTGTGTACAAGGAGCTTTACTAATAAGGAGTGTGTTCTAGTCCCAGCAGATTAAATCTGCTTTGGTGTGCATTCTCTTCCCAAATTTCTCACTTATTTCCTTTGTTTGCTGGTTATTTTAGTGAAAGATCATTTTTAATGCCTGTGAAGATAGTTTCTTTTAATTATAGGCATGTGCTGCATAATGACGTTTTGATCAATGAGAGACCACATATACAATTGTGGTCCTATAAGATTAGTACCACATAGCTTAGGTGTGTAGTAGGCTATACCATCTAGGTTTGTGTGAATATATTCTCTGATGTTCGAACAACGAAATTGCCTAATGACACGTTTCTCAAAATGTATCCCTGGTTAAGTGACACACGACTGTATTATATAGTCCGAGTGGAGGGGATTACTGGAGTAAAATAAAATGTTTCTTTCTTTATGGTAGGATGTGATGGAGCTGCTTGAAGAAGATCTCACATGCCCAATTTGTTGCAGTCTGTTTGATGATCCTCGAGTTTTGCCTTGCTCGCACAACTTTTGCAAAAAATGCTTAGAAGGGATCTTAGAGGGGAATGTGAGAAATTCATTGTGGAGATTATCTCCATTCAAGTGCCCCACATGCCGGAAGGAAACTTCAGCTACTGGAGTCAATAGCCTGCAGGTTAATTACTCCCTGAAGGGTATTGTGGAAAAGTATAACAAGATCAAGATCTCTCCCAAAATGCCAGTGTGCAAAGGACACTTGGGGCAGCCTCTCAACATTTTCTGCCTGACTGATATGCAGCTGATTTGTGGGATCTGTGCTACTCGTGGTGACCACACCAAGCATGTGTTCTGTTCTATTGAAGATGCCTATGCTCAGGAAAGGGATGCCTTTGAGTCGCTCTTCCAGAGCTTTGAGACCTGGCGTCGGGGAGATGCTCTTTCTCGCTTGGATACCTTGGAAAGTAGCAAAAGGAAATCTCTACAGTTACTGACTAAAGACTCAGATAAAGCGAAAGAGTTTTTTGAGAAGTTACAACACACATTAGATCAAAAGAAGAATGAAATCCTGTCTGACTTTGAGACCATGAAACTTGCAGTTATGCAAGCCTATGACCCAGAGATCAACAAACTCAACAACATTTTGCAGGAACAACGAATGGCCTTTAACATTGCTGAGGCTTTCAAAGACGTGTCAGAACCCATCGTATTTCTGCAACAGATGCAGGAGTTCAGGGAGAAAATAAAAGTAATCAAGGAAACTCCTTTACCTCCCTCTAATTTGCCTACAAGCCCTTTAATGAAGAACTTTGATACCAGTCAGTGGGAAGACATAAAACTAGTAGATATGGATAAACTTTCTTTGCCTCAAGACACTGGCACTTTCATTAGCAAGATTCCCTGGAGCTTTTATCAGTTATTTGTGGTAGTTGTTCTGCTTGGCCTTCTCATTTTCTTCGGTCCTACCATATTCCTAGAATGGTCTTTATTTGATGAATTTGCAACTTGGCAAGACCATCTTTCAGACTTCAGTTCCTATCTGACTAAATCAGCTGATTTTGTAGAACTATCAGTTTTTTACTGGGAACAGGTGACAGATTGGTTTTTCATTTTCAGTGAAGGATTCAAGAATTTTACTTTGGTGGTGCTGAACAATGTGGCAGAATTTGTGTGCAAATATAAACTATTATAAAATCTGTTTCAAGTACATAGTTCTCTGTCTTTTGTTAGAAATTTGTTAGAGAACAGAGTGGTAGTTCAGATTAGGTCAAGATTCCAGTCAGATATTTTCTCCAAAAGTATTCCTTTCAAAAATCATGTCCTATACATGTTCAAATTAGGTAGCATAAAGATAAAAGTGAAATTTAATAGTACAGTCTTGAACCCTCCTTTCTTTTTAAAGAGTGCTTTTGAAGTAAGCATCCTACCCCCAGTAGTGCTTGTGTTTATGCTGTGGAAAAAGGGGAGGTAAGAGAGCACATCATCTAATATTGTATTGATGAGGTAGTGTAACAGTGATTGTTCATTTAAGCATGTAATAAAGACTACTGTAAAGCAAATTTTTTTTTGAGAGTGAACATTCTTTAAAAAAAGAAGACACAATTGGATTTCCAAATTTTTCTACAGAGAGTTGATTTCCTTTTTTGCTAAAATGTAAATCTCATGTAAACAAAAACTGGCATAAATCTTGTGATAAGTTTACATTTTTAGGAGGGTGGAGATTTCAGCTTGCCTTTTTCTCCTTAGGTTTTGTAAATTTATCACCAATTTGGTGATAAACTACAGAAGTGTTAGGTGGCTGTGCAAGCAAAAGCATAGGTTAAAAAAAAAAAGTCTAACACATGGCAAGAGCAGGAAATGGGAAAGCCTCCTTTTTACTGGCAGCTGTGGTGTTGTTCCAAAGTATCATGGCAACTCGACAACCAAAACAATCCACTTGCTTAAAGAATTTAAGAGTAGTAAGACTAATTTGACAATAGATGAAACAATCTATCCAGTATCATAAAGTACAACGTAATTAGCTAAACACTAATGCTGTTCTGTCTGCTCACATGAGATAAAGATGCCCTATCTGCCACAGAATAAGAATACTTAATTTTCTCACCTTGCTTAGAATTCAGAATGAAACAAGAAGTGACCTTATCTTAGACTTGCTCTCTAGTCTACCTTATTTCTGTTGTGGAAAAAGACATTCCTTTGAAAGTCCAGAGTGTCTTTACCCCAGTCCTTTAATTTGGTTGAGAAAAGATAATGCAAGTGGGGACAGGAAAAAAAGGTGGCAACTAAATTTAAAGTACAGAGGAATCATTTTAGCTATGAGAAGAAGGGTCAAATTAAGCTGCTAGTTGAGGTAACAGCTACCTCATCCCTAACTGACAATTCACAATTTAGCCAGTAAGTTGCTAACAGGATCATAAGAAATTATGACAATATTTCTCTGTAAATCTTTCCTCTGCCATGAGGACTCAGAGTAGATAAGAGGTCTGGGGAGGGAGAGTGCTTTTCTGCTCTCCCTCCTTTTTTTTTAAATAGAGATTTACAACAGGTTTTCATGGAGAATTTTTTATGGAATATAGGAAGGGGATCTATTTGACATCCTCAGATAATCCTGGCAGTTTTCAAACTATCCAGTTCCTCATCTGTTGCTTTTTCATTTTGTATACTACAAGCTCCCAAGCAACTCATATTTGCAAACATAGCTATGGATACACTATTTGCTTAACAGTGGTTACTTGGAAATCTAGGTCTCTGTTTTTTTGTTTTTTTCCCACTCCCCTCCGTTTCTTAATCATATAACTAGCAACATTTATGGTTATAGGTTGATTTACAAGTTCCTAAGTCTGTGACTGATGGTTTGTAGCCTCTAGTTTGAAGCAAGAGAAGAATGAGTAGTCAGGAACTGGTCACTTGGAACGTGGGAGGGAAGATATTCACAACAAGGTCTTCTACCATAAATCAGTTTCCTGCCTCTCGGTTGACACGAATGTTAGATGGCAGAGACCAAGAATTCAAGATGGTTGGTGGCCAGATTTTTGTGGACAGAGATGGTGTTTTATTTAGTTTCATCTTAGACTTTTTGAGAACTCACCAGCTTTTATTACCTACTGACTTTTCAGACTATCGTAGGCTTCAGAGAGAGGCTCTTTTCTATGAACTTGATCCTCTGGTTGATCTCTTAAATCAAGAACACCTGCTACAGCCAAGACCTGCTCTTGTGGAGGTGCATTTCCTAAGCCGAAACACTCAAGCTTTTTTCAGAGTGTTTGGCTCTTGCAGCAAAACAATTGAGATGTTAACTGGGAGGATTACAGTGTTTATAGAGCAACATTCAGCACCGACCTGGAGTAGTAACTCTTTTCCTCCTCAGATGAACTTAATTCCACTGCCTCCACAAAGACCTTCTTACCATGACCTGGTTTTCCAGTGTGGCTCTGACAGCACTACTGATAACCAAACTGGAATCAGGTATTTTGTACTTTGAAGAATCTCTCTTCTATACCAGTTCCTGATGTTTCCCCTCAAAACTGAACATTTCTCATGCCTGAAACTTTTCTTGGGAAAAATGATTACTCAAAATAATGTTTTGGGGTAACCAGTAGAGTTGGGTAGAATGACCAGATAATTATTGTCCAAACTGGGATACTTTTCAGAGTGAAAGAAGGTACTGTTATTATGTGGGACAATAGGAATAAACCAAGACTGTCCAGGGCAAAGTGGGACTATGGTCATTCAGGTTGTAGGAGAAAATAATTCTATACATTATGTTCCATTGCTAATGAATTTGGCTTAGGAATGAGACGCCTTTTTTCCCCAAGAGATTCTTTTAGTGGCTGGCATATAAGTAAAGGTTCAAGAAGTTTCTCCTGATTTTCTTATACTCTGTATATTTGTTCTTTCAGTCCTTGTGATTGGACTACTGATTTTTCTTTATCCGACTTTTTTTTTTTTTTTTTAATTTTATTTATTTATTTATTTTTTTCCCCAAAGCCCCAGTGGATAGTTGTACGTCACAGCTGCACGTCCCTCCAGCCGCTGCATGTGGGACACGGCCCCAGCATGGCCGGACAAGCAGTGCGTCGGTGCGCGCCCGGGATCCGAACCCGGGCCGCCAGCAGCGGAGCACGCGCACCCAACCGCCAAGCCACGGGGCCGGCCCTCTTTATCCGACTTTATTTTTAAACTCCATTAAGGCATATATATCTCATGGAAAATTTGGCATCCCGTTACCTCTTTGGCATTCTTAGACAACTCAAAATATTGGGATAGGCTGTCCATATGTTAAGGATAGTTGCTCCTGAGTCAATTATTCACTTTCTCCCCCTGTTGTTCTTGGTTGGACCTTAAGGCTGATTTCTACTCTGCTGTCAGGGACACTTTTTTCCCCCATAAAAATATCTTAATGCTGACCACCATTTTTTTTACTAACTGTGAAAGCTGGCTTTAATTTTCAGGAGGGAAAAAAAGTCTATATATGTTCTTTACTGATAGTTTTAAAAATAAAATATACTTTTTTAGGGTAAAGGTAGGTAGACATATTTTGGAATATTAACTTCAGCACTAGCCATCAGGAACAATCAATGTTTGCCTCTCCCACAAAACACCCCTTGATCCTGCTTACCAACAGGAGAACACTGGGCAGTATGTCAATTCTTTACACTTTATAATTTCCTGCCCTTCCAAAGAGGTTGAAATGTCACCTTGGGAAAAGAGAGCCAGTTTCATTAATAGGCTGATTGTGAAGAAAACCTAAGATTCTATCTCAAACCGTTTTAAGATAACCTCTGTGCACACTTTCTTTTCATTGGTGGGGCACTAAAATAGAAGGGAAATGATCAGTTTTTTTTTTTTTTTAATTTGATTGAGTAATTAAGATCTTTGGGGATCCCTTTCTAAAAAGTTAAAAACCTAAGGAAAAATGGTGGCATTGATTTTAAGAAGAAACATGCAAAGTAAAAAGATATCCTGGAACTACTAAATGTTCTTTAAAAACTATGCATTTGGATAAAATAATTGAAAAACAAGATTAGAAACTCCAGTTGGGATATTGTGTGTACACAGTGCCAAGTGGTTTCCCCTTTGTTGTTAAGTGTTTGTGGTTTAGAAATAGTACAAAATTTGTTTTCATTTTAACGTGAGAATGGCATTATATTTAAACTTCCGAAATAGATGATTACAAAACCAGAAGCTATTTTTAAAATTAACTTTTTTTGCATCATCAAATAGTATTCTTTTCAGTTGTTTGACGTTCAGAATTTTTTCCATCCCATAAGTGTTTGTGATTTTTTCTTTAGTGCCAATTTCAAAGTAGAGATAGATAACCTGAATCAAGTGACATTATTGGGATTTCAGGTGAGGGGATGAAAACTCTGACCTTAAAAGGCCCACCTTAGATATATAACTTCCTAGCTAGCAATCATTTTATTTCTTGCTCACTCCCTGGTCTGAATCTGTCCATTCAGATGTTTTTGAAGGTGGAAAGTGGAGGAGTAAGCTTGAATGGCTCCTAAGAGTCTGGTGTATCATCCAGCTGTTCGGTATGTTCCTCTAATATGATTTATCCCTCTAAGGTCTTGTTAACCTAGCAGGTTGCTCAGTTACTATCTCTCAAGTTCACAGTACTAGAAATACTTGGCTTGCATCTTGCAGATGGCCATTCATATGATACCACATTATCAATCTCAAGTTATGGTCACAGGATTCTCGAGTCTCTTTGGTAGCCTTTATTCTGAAGTTTCATTTTTAAACTGGCTCAAATGGAAAAGTATTGTTGCCTTTTAAGTTTTTAAAACAAGTTTTGATTTTATATTTCTCATTGTTTTTTTTCTATCCTTGTCTTGTGCCTTGAAATCTTTCATTTCTCAATTTGGCCTCATAGGGAATCAAGTATTTTGGCTCAGTGATTTCTTGCGAGTACATTCCACTTTGTTATCACCTACTATATACTATTCATATCTTAATTTTATGAGATGTTCTGTAACTTTTTTCCTCTTTGACAAACGTTCCTAGGCTATACAATCAAGATCTAGGGGGCTTGATTGGGGGTTTGGGAGTAGAAGGAATAATTTACTAATGTTAAAAATTTGCTGTATCAAAAATAAAAAACATTTTTTGATATGTATTTTGTAGTTTTATAATTCTTATATTTTATTATTGTTTTCTTTGCCTAGAATGAGTTTCTGAATGTGAGCTACAATAACCACTATATTTCAGTCATAATTAAAAGGAGGCTGGGGATGTCCCCAAGGCTCTTTTTATCCCATAAAACTATAGATAGTTTAGGTTGCTGCCTGGAACTAATTTAAGTTAGCTTTTCTTCACATCTCATTAACAAATGGTGGGAGGACACAAAGACATAATATCTTTGATGCTAGATAAAGAAGGAGTGATATAGCTATATGTATGCGGACATGTTATGTTGATATTATTAAAGCCAACATACAGCCAATCTGAAAAGTTCAGGTATATTTTTCTTGAATTATGTATATTGAGTTCTACTGAGTTTCCCAGGAAATGGTAAGTTTTGTCATTTCGACTCCAGAGGCCTCTTGACCCCACTGTCTTCAACAATGGACCATTATTGAGTAAAAATTGACAATAAAACCTTCTTGACATTTTATATCTGCAAAATTTCATCTGAAAAAAATGCATTCAATAGGAATCAGTCACAAAAGAAAATCTGTAATGTCAGTGCTGATAATGGGTAAAATTAGATTTATGGGGAAAATTGGAAATGTATAATGTTTATTAAAATGATCAATTAATTAAATTGATTAAAACAATATTTAGTAAATGGAAAAAAGAAAAATTGGAAATAGTTAAATTATATAAAAATTAAGCTAATTTAATTGTTTGATCAAATTGTTTGCTCCAGAAAATAATTTCTCAATGAAAATTCATCATTGTTGGTTGTATTCCTAAACATAGAATTAAAATGACTCTGGAGATCACAGTGAGGTCTCTAGTCTCAGTACCCTGAAATTACTGATTTGGATTTATAAATGAAGTCTCAAAAAAAATTTGATCAAGAATGGTATGATGCCTTTATTTGAGGTTATAAGTCAAATTTCTGTGTTTAGTTTTGCTAGTTATTAAAGGGATGCTTATAATTAAACACTTTTTGTCTGTCCTAGGTATGTTTCTATAAAACCTGATAACCGAAAATTGGCCAACGGAACTAATGTCCTCGGCTTACTGATTGACACTTTGTTAATGGAAGGCTTCCATCTGGTCAGCACTAGAACAGTATCCTCTGAAGACAAAACTGAATGCTATAGCTTTGAAAGGATAAAAAGGTCTGAAGCTCTCGCCATGAACAAAACACTGAAACCAGGGACTACCCTCATGCCAGAGCAATCTCAGAAAAAGAAATGAGGTTCTCTGTTCTCTTTTAGAGTAAAGGGAAATTGCCATTTTCTTATTTGGAAATTCCACATTTAGGACAAATATGTTAGTCAAATAAGTACTCAGCCTAACTTTTTGGCCTTGTCTCCTACCATGCCATCTCTGGACAACCACACAATGCTTAAGCCACACTAACTGCTTGCTGCTCTCTAAACAACACCATGCACTTGGTGCTTTGGCACATGTTCCTTCTACTTTCATGCCTCTTTCCCTTTCTCTTCTTCATGAACACTTATACAGCTTTCAAGAATGGGCTTTGCAGGCCGGCCCGTGGCTTAGCGGTTAAGTGTGCACGCTCCGCTACTGGTGGCCCGGGTTCGGATCCTGGGCATGCACCGACGCACCGCTTCTCCGGCCATGCTGAGGCCGCGTTCCACATACAGCAACTAGAAGGATGTGCCACTACGACATACAACTATCTACTGGGGCTTTGGGTGAAAAAAAAAAGGAAGAGGATTGGCAATAGATGTTAGCTCAGAGCCGGTCTTCCTCAGCAAAAAGAAGAGGATTAGCATGGATGTTAGCTCAGGGCTGATCTTCCTCACAAATAAATAAAACTGTTTTTTGTTTTTTTTTTTTTAAAAAGAATGGGCTTTGGAATCAGACTGCTTGATTTCTAATCCGAACTCAATCACTTACTAGCTATATGACTTGGGCAAGTCATTTAACCTCTCTGTGCTTCGACTTGCTTCGTCTGTCAAATGGGGATAATAAATGTATCTCCCTTATAGGATATGTGAGGATTAAAGGAGATAATGTAAAGTACTCAGTACATTGCCTAGCACATGGAAGGCACTCAGTAACTATTAGTGGTGGTGGTGGTGGTGATGATGATGATGATGATGATAAAGAAGATGGTAGCCCACTTGCAATTGCACTTCTGTGAAGCCTTGTTTTCTTCCTTTCCCAGGCATATTAATCAGACCTTTCCTCTGTATAGACTTAATATGCCTTCATAAAAACAAATTTTTCTCATTTGAATGTGAACTTGATCCACTAATCAGTTTTAACACTACTATGTGTAAAGCACTATGCTAAATGCTTGGTGAGAGGAATAATACCTTTGTTACTAATAAGCAGCTACATTTGGTGAAAAGCTTTTGAATAACCTCTATTGATACTTGAAATACACATATACTTTGACTTCGGATTCTTCCTGTAGGAATTCCTCTTCTATACGTGTCACTAGAATGAACATCTAGAAGAGTAATCATTAAGTCAAAGAGCACCCAGCACTTTGCACATAGGAGGGTTAAAAACCACTGAGTGGAAGCAGTTGAGCACCATTTTAAAAAGTACAATTAATTCATTCAAAAACATCTGTTAAACATTTGTTGGACACTATACTAAGTTTTCAGGATTATAAAAATGAGTAAGATAAAAATCCTTATTCTCAAGGAGCTCACATTCAAGTGAGAAAGTATCTCATCATAACAGCAAAAGATTAGAAATAAACTCAAAGTTCATCAATAGAGAATGGGTAAATTATGGTTCATACAATGAAATACTGTACTATCCAGCCCGTAAAAAGAATGAAACAGCAGTTTATAAGTGGATAAGGAAGGATTGTCAAATATTTATAAGTGAAAAAAAGCAAGGTGAAGAACAATGTATAAAGTGGAAAAAATATATTTCCACTTCATATATATAGTTTCCATTTGTGGGAAAAATATATATACTTGTTTTCTTACATATGCCTGGAATTTTCAGCAAAGATACAGGTCACCTGTGGAGAGGGAACTGGGTGAGTGGGGTTTAGGTGTGGGAGAAGACTTACTTTTCACCAGATCATGTAGATGTATTATCTATTAAAAAAGGATTAAAAAAAAAGGAACAAGCAGCTTTACCTGAAAGATTGTGATTGTGTGTATGTGTGTGTGTGGGTTAGGGGGATTGTTATGGTATAGTATGGTCTATTATCTCATACTGCCATAAATTTTACTCTACCACCATTCTTGTGAAAGAAAAGTGTAAAGAAATTGCATTCCAGAAATTTCCAGTAATTATTTATAGATTTGTGTACTAGGTTGTAGCGATTAAATTAAATTAAATTAATTAAATTAAAAATTTCCAGCTACCTCAAAAGGTAATGTACATGTAAAAGTACAAAATACTTCAAGATTAGTAATGTTAAGGTTAGCAATTGAAAATAATGACCCAAATAAGAAAAAAAACCCTATGAATAGGCTCATCTCTCTTTTCTGCAGAAAAGCCAACTTAGTTGTTTCAGTGTGTCATCTTAGTTTTGGGGATGATGTGTTTGGTCTGGTTCCCTTGCTAGCATTATATTCTAGGGCACAATATTTCTATTCTGCTAAATTTTTGGCAGGTATGTGATTTAACTAGTTGGGTATAGTTAGTTGGCATGGTTATATATGTAACACTTTAATTTTGGATAGTGCTTTGCTGATAAGATTATTAAAAATTGATAACTGGTTAAAAAATACTGAAATAAAAAATATTGTAACTACAGGTTGGCAAGGAATAACACTGGAAATGTTTAAATTGCTAATAATGGGTTCTTAGTCATTCACATTTGCAGGAAACTAGTCTGATGAGAAATAAAATGTTATTTTTAACGTGCTAATAGAAACATACCTATGGAAACATATAATATACATCACATTCATTCATAAATATTTATTGACATCTACTGTGTGCGAAATACTATTCTGGACATTGGAGATACTGCAAGGAACAAAATAATACCTTCCCTTCTAGAGCTTACTACAAATACAATTTATAAGATTGACAATGGGTTTAAATTAAAATAACTTAAGCCTTTTATTAAATAGTTTCTCAAAAGTTATGAGTTCACAATGCAGAGGTTTTTAGGACACAGGTTACTACAATTAAAAAATATATTATTCATTCAGGACAGTGTACATTCAGAATGGACTGAGTTTCTTATTTTAAAAAGTAAATATTTTAGAGATTATCTCATCTGGAGACACATTTGTCAAGATCATCTCAGCCTCTTGTGTTCACTCCAAAACAGAGTGGGACACTGAAACTGAGATGTTAAGACATGCAAAAAATTGAGTCTTGTTTTAGAAAGGGAGGCAAGCAATGTAGTGTGAAGAAAACAGGGATATCTTAGATGCACCACAGGCAAATTAAAAACTCTTGCCTGCTTTAGAATAAAAAGACTTGAACATTTTCATACAGGTATTACTTAACACAACTTCTTGACTGAATTGATTTGTCGATTTTATTTTAAATTATAAGAAAATAATGGCAGAAGCTTGTCTTGGCCAACTATGCTGAAAACCTTGTTCTATGAAATCATATACACCTATCAATCCATCTCATATACACAAGTATGAATCATCACAATGACATGTTAAGGTTTGTCCATCTTAATGATACCATTAATATTTGCGCCTCCCCTATTCTCCCACTTCCGTTATGTTTGTTTCAGCTTCTTTCCATCACCCACAGTTTCATTTCTGCTAAGGCACTAACGACTTCAGCTTATTCTTGAACCTCAAAAATTTATCTTATAAGTGATTGGAAGTTCTCCTTACAAAGATTTTCTGAAAAGGAGCTCTAGTGTTGAATTTTACTCTTTGAACTTAATATACAAGTCATAATTACAAAGAGTTCTTAGCTTATGGTAAAGTTGGAATTCATTTGGGCTGCTTTCAAAATATATCTGAAATCAGGAGCCAAAGTAATATAAAATGGTCAAGGGAAAGCATCTTGAGAAATATATGGTTTAGGGGATCATAAGCTGTTTCTAATTTGTCTTCTATACTGTTTACATCTGACAAACTTCAGCTTTTTTTAATAAGTTTTTGTATTGCTTCTCTATCGTAAATAATAGAAATGGTCACATCACCTGAGACCTTGCTGGGGTAATAAAAGACCTGCTAAGAGCACTCTAAATCTCCTATATTCTAGTTATTTTTCCTCTGTGCTGGGGAAATTGACTCTCTTAACAGCAAGCTTAACAATGTAGAAGCCACTAAGAGGAAATTTTTTAAAAGAAATTTAGGAAATTGTATTACCTTCCTGGAGCCAAAGAACCCATGGAAGAGAGCAACGTGACATCAAACTTAGTGTTTTAAACAAAAGTTCAAGAAATAAAGAGATGAGATGAAAATATATTGCAAAAAATACTTAGATTTCTGGAATATCAACGACCCAGTAAAAACCGTACTCACCAGCTCTGCCATATAACTACACCTCAAGAATTATTAGACCTTCTATTGGACATCTTAGAGATGAAACGTTATGTACAAATTTCACCAGAAAAACTCATCATCTCATAATTATAAAGCTTAGAAAATATCTTAATATTTACTTAAACTATGAGATAGATCCAACCATAAAAATCTTTTAGTGGATAAAAAGCTAACACCTTACATGGTGAAGGGGAAATGAGTATTAGGCATGGTATAGAATAAAAAAGCAACAACATGCAGCTAAGTAAATAGGACTTTGCTCCTCAAACTAAAATGTGCCTAAGACTTGTCTAACCATACAGAGCTTTTAGGTAGGGAGCATTCTGCATGTTCAGATTTCACACCAACACCTCAAATCCAGAAATCATTGTTTTAAAGTGGCCTTTTATTCTATGAGTTGAGTAAAACACACCAAATACCAAGTGTTTCTATTTCATGTTACTCTCCATCATTTCATACTCTGGTAAGAATTTTAATTTCTTTGGGTTCCCAAGTTGGAAGCCAAATAGGAGAGGTTTGTCTTACCCTTCTTGTAATAAGAGACTCCAAGAAAGTCTAGCTGCAATGTGTGAGGTTCCATGAGTTTCTTTTCAGATGAGGACTGGGATTGTGCTTTATACTGGTCTTTATATTCCCCCACAGTGCTGGACATCTAAGAGTCTCAACTGAACTGAAAAATTTGGAACACTATAGTCTCGGTGAACAGGAACTTGGAAAAATGAGAATTATAGTAGATTCAAAGATGGATGAAGATACTTTAGAGTCTGAAAGAGTTGATTCAAGTTAAAGACTACAGAAAAAAAACATGGTATTTTTCTATTAGAAGTTAACTTGGGTAATCATGCACAAAATGAGATGAAAATATAGATGTATATAGAAATACTCACTAGTTGGAAAGTTACACAAAATTTTACATTTAATCAGAGTAATATAGCCCAGCCAAAATTGAAATATACATAATTTTCTAATAAAAATGCAATGCTACAAGAGTGCTTAGTAATTAAAGAAACATTAAGGGAATACAAGTTCAGAATGAATGTTACATTACTATAATTGATGTTAAGTCTTGACTTACCTCCATAATTTAGGAGTCATGAAAAGATAGAAGTCAGCAGACCAGGCATGTAAGTCAGATGTAACTAGAATGGAAATACAGAAAAAAATATTCCCAGTTCTGGATAATCTGATTTGAAGTCGTAGGTTCACTGAACTTGGATTGATCATATGGTTCAAGGATTAAGGTGACATGGTCTGAAAGATCCTGGTATGGTCCAGAAGACATAGTACCAGTTTTTTTTAAAGGCTATTTTGGAAGCACAGATTAACGTTTTAAGTTCCCTTACGTATCATTAAAACAGAACATATTAAAAAAATCAAGTAAAGATCTAGAGTAATACAGTATTTATGTCTAATGATGGATGGCTATTTTTCATGGCAAGTAATAACCTAGGTAAACAGAGAAAGATACTTTGACTTTCTAAATAATCCTACAAAACAAGGTTTAGCTCCTAGAAAACCAAAAAATATTTCCTTTTGATTAATTAAATTTTTTTTTTTTTTTTGCTTTGGTCACTTTTTAAACTTCTGGCTATATAATTTAAGCAGTACTGAATTCCTATTTGATTTTTTTAGGCTAATACTTTTCTTCAGGTGCAAGCCCGATTTAGAGTGAGAATGAGAAAAAGTTTCATATCTCTTAGACAGAACCTTAATTTCCTCTTAACTGTGTTTCTCCATCAAAAACAAATATTCAAATAAGGAATCTCAATTATCTAAACCTATTTTTGGCCATCTTCCGGAATTTCTTGTTACATCTCCTTTGAAATGCCACAGTTGCACTCTTGGAAAACTTGTCTTCCTGGTTTTCAAATTTCTGTTTATTATTTCAGCTCTTCAGCCAGAATGCCAGGTCTTTGTGCTGTACTGTTTCTTGAAACTGGAGACCAGCACATTTCCCACAATTCAATTACTTGTCTTTCCATTTGAGAAATTAAAGCCATGTCAGTTTTACAAAGGTTTAACTGACTGAATTATTTGGACTTTAAGTTCTCAATTTCATTCCCTCAATCTAATACTGGGAAATATCTTTGTTTTATTAATAGAAGCGAAGGTATGGTTCAAGAATATTAACACATTTTAGTCATTGACCCTCATAACTGATACAAGTGTAGGGATTTTCTGACAGGCACAAGCTTGAGCTATGATGCTATAGGGAAAAAGGGAGAGTTTTAATTCAATTTTGTTAATATTTATTTAAGATTACATACCTAATCAAATAATTTATTTACATAAATGTATGTGTTTATATATTTCTTTTTAAAAGAAAGGGATCTATTGTCTTTAATAAAGAGCTCCAGTTAGCTTTCAGTTAGCTTTTCAAAAAATATAATTTATATTTTAGGTTGTCTGCCCTTATCAACTTTATGTGGGTAACTGACAAATTTACCTTTTCAGCCTGACTTTGACATTGAATTCCAGTTCTGTATATTCAGTAACCTGTAATCAAACTATTTCAAACAGAATGCCTGGATATCATTTTAAATTCAATATTATGGGGCCGGCCTGGTGGTGTAGCGGTTAAGTTTGCAAGTTCCACTTCGGTGGCCTGTGGTTCGCTAGTTCAGATCCTGGGCGCGGACCTATGCACCGCTCATCAAGCCATGTTGAGGCGGTGTCCCACATAGAGGAGCTACAACTCTACAACTATGATACACAACTGTGTAGTGGGGCTTTGGGGAGAAAAAAAGAAAAAAGGAAGAAGATGGGCAACAGATGTTAGTGCAGGGCCAATCTTCCTGAGAAAAAAAAATTAATTAAAAAAATTCAATATCACAAAAATGGGATTCAATGCCTTTCCTTCTCAAACTAGCTTCTCTTAACTGTCCCCTTTCTTTCAGTGATACACCATTGTCTTCCAGTATAGAAAAATGTATAATTTTTGACATCTCCCTTTTATCCAACTCATCATAAAGTTATACAGTTTTTTTCTTTTGAAATATCTTAAAATTATTCTTTTATCTCCATTCTCATTGCCACTCTTCTGTTCAGGTTTTCTTCACTCCTAGATTACTACAATGGCCACACACCCAGTTTCCTTGCCATCAGACTTTATTTCTTAGAACCTTTCTATATATTGTATTGCCACATTTAATTTCCAAAAATTCCACTACTTGGTCAACTTCCATTATTTTGTTTCAAGAGGCTATAATGCCTCTCTACTCCTTGCTATATTGAGACTCAAGTCCTCTTAATTGGTTTTCCAAGCAAAGGTGCAATAACATAGTTCTAACCTATTTACTCAAATTCATGTAACCCTTGCCTCAGGTCTTAAGACAAAGGTCCCAAGTTACTTTTTGGGGAATACTGCATTCTATTTTGGCTTAAATTCTCCCAGAAACAGGGAAGTCCACTACTTGACAACTCAGTACATCTTAATTTACAAGCATACAGGCCACAAATTACAAAATGAAGACATTTTTTATTGATTCAGCAGAGACAACTGCCTAGTCCCCCTGTAATTCCCCAAAATTACTTACAGTTTTGTGCTGAGGGGGTCATCTCATGTGGCATTTATTGCCCTTTACTATAGAGTGAGCTGTTGTCAGGCACTCTGCTCCATACAGACAATATCTGTTTTCTGCTTCCAGTCTCAGTCCTTTCTCCACATGGTCTAGGTACCCGTGGTATAGTGAGTTCTCACCTTTTTTGTGGGGTTGGTGGTGGAGGTGTCAAAATACATGCCTAGAAAACAGGTCATAAAGCATATCAATATAGAGGGGAAACTGCTGTGCCATAGGAACCATTACTTAATTGCTGGTTGAATTCCTGACTTTTGGCTACATGTTAAATATAACAATAAGTCAACCACTCTCAAAGCCAAATCAAACCCAACAGCAACAACAGACTTTTCAAAAAATAGAATTTATATATAGGTTCTGGAAAACAGACATAAATGTCCTATAGATTTTATATAAAAGCTCGAAGGGTATACAAAAGTAAATCCTTATCACATTATAAATATGACTTAAATGTTCTGGCAGAAAACAAATGCTATATATTTATTTGATCCACAATTTTGTCTTCTTAGATTTCCAAAAGCTTTTTTGGTGTGACTTGGATAGTCTCTGATAAAACTGTCCAAGGCAGTTTATAAGAAAACCTATTTCACTCAATAAGGTGGATCCAGTAATCAGAAGGATCCAGAAGCATATCATTAGAGAGTCACTTTAAAGAACTGTAGCAGATGCTCAATACATTTGTTTTTGTGATTATGGTAATGGTGTTTCTTGAAAAGTATTTTTTAATGTAAGGACTTTTCATTCTACTATCATCTTCCATCTCCTCAGAAACACACAAATAAAGGCCAACAGAAAACAGTTAAACTATACTTTGTTGAAAGATTTAGATTATCTGTTAGATCACTAATGGCCCTTGAAAAGGGATATCAAAATTTCACAGGCCTTCCAACTATTTGCCCCCACACATGGGTTTCTGGCTTTGATTAAAAGGTCACTTTAAGGTAGCTAAGACTTAAGGCATGAATGTTAACAGGTAGCATAGAATGGGAGGAGGCCTGATAAGTGAAGTAGTAAAAGGTGGAGAACTCCTAAATTACCAGGAAAGAGCCTGGGCATTTCTGTATTTACCTAGCTGGTATTCAGCCTTTCCAGAATATTTTAATTTATCATAAAGGTATTACTGCTGATTTTCAGCAATCAATTGCCACTTATCAAGCACCCACTATGTCAGGCTTGCAGAGTATACAATAAAGAATAAGATAGCCCTTGCCCATAAGGCAGGATACGTTAATTGTTCTAAGTCAGGTATAGGAGCACAAAAGAGAGAAATGGTATTACTGGCTGAGGAGGTAAAGTGAACTCGAAAAATTTCATGCAGAGGGTAGAGAGCCTAAGAAGATTTAGACAGTTGAAGATGAGGGAAAGGACATTCTAGGAATAAATAACTTGAGCTAAGGCTTGGATGCAAATTAGTAAAAGGTTTGGAAAAGGAGTATTTCTATTTGGCTTAACAACAGTACTATGGTATTAATTCACAAT